TACGATGGTTGGAGGAGCATACGATAAAATGTATAATTATGGTACATTTAAGGAGCATTTCGTACATTTTCGAATTTTTCTGATTGATAAAATAGAAAACGCAGAGTCCGGTTGATCGAATTGACAATTTTCAGTTAAACAAGAAACTCGGTAATAGCGATCGATAAAAAGTCTAGTGTAATCTCGTTTCTTTGCTAATACAACAAGTTTGCAAATTCTCCACTCTATTTAGTAAACACGGTCCATTTCACGAAGGTCCCTAAAAATAAAATCTTCACTGAACGATCAGAAATACCTTTCACGCTTGTGTAAAATTACGTGCACAAAGATTATCGAGACTTGTATAATTTTCTCTTCGTTATTTTTATTAAAACACTCGATACATCCGCTTAACCTTATTTTAAAAAGTCTACCAGAAGTAAGGAAAAAAATTCATACGTTAACTGAAATATATTAAAAAGACATTCATCTACGAAATTTTCGAACTCCGCTACGGACGTGTATAGTCGTTGGAAGAAATATATAAAATTTGTCAGATGTCGAAGTTTAAATCGACAGAAACCTGAGAAGACAAAGACTTATATTCGATTCAGTCCTAATCGGAAAACGAAAAATATTGCGTTCGATTCTGTGAGGTTATATTTCTTCCACCGACTATACCTCGCGAAAGTGACACGCTCTGCCATACAGAAGGCCTCTCCATCCATCCATGTCGTTGCAAGCCTGCCGTCATCAATTTCCAATCGTTTCACAGTCGAAATCGTTTCACGTTCCTCTCGAGGGTTAACCCTTTCGCGACGGCGTAGCTGGCCGTCCGTACGTCACCACTGCACGCAAGAACGAACCGCGAATGTCTATTATACGGTGAACAGACTTCGTTCTGAATTGGTGCAGTGTTTGCAGTTTTTTTTTTTTTTATCATACAGTTGTATCGTCTTTCTAGAAATGACGTAAATTGGAGGAGTGAAGATTATTCGACGTTTAATTATCTGCTTGAATTTTGTAGTGAATTGTATGATTTATTTTTGTATGCTCTTGAGTAGTATTTATTTGAGATATTTCTATATCTCTGCTGTAAATAAAATTGAAGGCAAATGTGCTCTTTTGGAATATTGAAATATTTAATTTTGATATATTGAAATATTCAGTTTTGAAATAACAAAGTACCCAATTTTCAATATTTGCCTTTAATTTCACTTAAATACAAATTTAATAATACTTTCGGCCACTATAATGGCTATTCGTCGCGAAAGGGTTAAGCCACCATAACCTAACTTTTCTCCGTTCGCGAGAAGCAAAATTATATTTACTCCTAATTTTACAAATTTCAGCAATTTCAACCACCAGAATCCTCTCACAATTAACCGAAATACGACGTCACTAGAAAGACAAACTCGAATATTCTTTACTGTCTTCCTAAAAAACATTTTTCTTACATTGGGCCTGAAAGGGTTAAAGCCGTGATCGTGACCGCGTGGTCCGAGTGAGCGTGGTATCGTTCCCGGATCAATAGCACGTGATCGTACCGGCCACAGTGGTGTCGGCCGATATAAACAAAGAAACGTGTCGCGCAGCGTACGCGTCGACTACCGCGCATCGATTTTCCCCTTGTGCCACGGGGCTTCCCGCGGTATATACGTGCGATTCACGCTACGCCACGCTCGCCGACCAACCGTAAGACGTCGCCTGAGGACGTCTGAAATCTTCGACCAGATTTCTCCTTCCTTCCGAATTTCTTCTATTCTCGACGAACGAACGAAATTTAACAATTGCATCGATTCTTCGATATCTATTCTATACCTGTGAGCCAAACTGACACAAGTCCCTGTATCACACAATACATGATCGAATTATTGTGATTAAATGAGAAAAAATTGTATTATTGTTTGTTTTCGATGGTATTATGATTTGAATAAAAAAACTGATATATCTTACGGGATATAAGAATCCTAAGAAAGTCCTGAAATCCGAGAGAACAAGCTTCTTCTAGACGGCGATGAGACTTTAAAGTCGGCAATTTACACCTCGAACCCTTTTCATGCGAAGCCTCTAAAACGACGCGTGTATACAGAAGCTGCTAAATTCGTCACTTTCCCTGCACTGTCACCCTAATTACGCCCCTAACGCTGTCCTCGACCTCTGAAATTCAATATTTTCTTCTGTCCTCGACTGACTTCCAAGGAAATCGAAACTTTTTACTATTTTAATATTAAAAAGAAATACTTATTTCTTTTCTTCATACAAACTACACTAACACATATTTAGATAATCTTTTTAACCCTAAGTTAGTCTGCTTGAGGTCTGACAAGCCAAACACCATAATTTTATATTCTGTTTATAAAATTAAAATTCTAATTAAATTCGAAATAAATAGTTTATACTATCGTTTAAATAATTCTAAAAACAACAGTTGAATTGAGCTCTCTCAGAAGTTAGGTTAGGTTAGGAATGACAAACCAGTCGTTCGAACTGTGGAATCTGACTTAGATAGGGTTAATTATCCTATTTGATTAGTGGAAAGTAGTGAAACATGAAAATTCCTTCTGATTTCAGACGAACGCTGCGGTGGTGTTCAAATGCACCTGGCCAGGTTGCCTGGAGATCAAAGCGACCGTGGCGCTTATCGAGGAGCACGTGCGCCATTCGCACTTGGGGTAAGTCTGAGCATACCGTAAGACGCAACAAGTCTCGTGAAAATCTGACAAGCTTCCGCCAAGCCGTTATATTTTATCGTGACCGCCACGTGAAACCGGTGTACGGGACTGTTAACCCTCGTCTGCTTGGTATATTAGGGCCATTTTGACTCACTGTCTGTCCAATGCAATTGCTCAAAATTGTCCGACAACCGTCGCCATGTTGTTCCTCAAAGTTATTTGAGGATTAACCTCGAACCGTTCGATAAGATAAATGTCCGTTATATTGAACACCGTAAATCGTCGATCTAGTAGCTCGTTTTCGTTCTTTCGTTCCGGATGATGCACGCAGATAAGCGCATTTAACTTGTATTACCCGGATTTTCTAGGCCGAAAAAGTCGAACGGCTACGATAACGAGGAAGACGACGACATCTCCGACCACGAGGAAGAATTCTACTATCAGGAGGTGGCGGTCGATCACATGAGTTCGCCGCCGACGATGTCACACCGGGACATGGCAAGGCCTCCTCACGAGGATCCTGAGTATCAGAGGCAGCTACGTCTTGAGGCCACCTCTGCCACCAACAACACGGAGAACGTGATGGTGGGAATCAGAGAACGGAACAACGCGTTCACCATTTCACAATCACCGGTACGTTGGTCAATTTGTTAAACCTGATTAATAGTACAACGGTTGAGTATGTGGCTGTACCTCCTACGCTCTGCCGCTAGAGGGACGGGCGAGACGACGTATTCTCGCTAGTACTCGCTAAACGCTCCTGTTTGTATATATACAACTTCCAACTTGTGTCTAATAGTTCCCCGCGTTTAAAGCGGGTGCATTTAGGAGTCCTAGGATGAAATTGTTTGTAACTCTTCCTTTTTCTGCCCTTATGCTCTCTATCTCGCTTTCCTGCAGCCATAATTAATTAATTAGTGATTCAATGTGGGATTTGCGTTTAGTTGATGATATGTGAATATAGGATACAATAAAAGAATATTGTGAAGGACATATTAAGTTAGTTCTCTAGTTGAGTACATGAAATTTGGGATTGCAGTTGGAAGAAGGGATGTTTTGTGTGTCAATTGAGAAAAAAGCCTAGGGCTTGAGTGATTTAAAAGAATGAATAGAAATTTATTCTATCTAAGGGGATTGTATGAGGGAGTTGAGGTGTGAATAGAGGATATAAAAGAACTTTCATTCTTTAGTTTAATATACTAGGGCTTTAAATTAGAGAAGATTCATTGTAGTATTTTATTCATTGATGTGCTTCAAAGTTGAATGAACGAATAATTTAAATAAATAATCAAATTGAGTATATCGTATGCATAAAAGTGTATTTGAATTTTGTTGTTGTTCAGTTGTTCAGTTGAAATTTGAATGAAAAATCCTGTAGATAAGTATATATCAGTAAAAAATTAATCCAGCAATTTTATCTTTGTTTCCATCCAAACAGGGCACGCCGATTAAGCATATAAAACTGTCGCCCCGGCCGTTCCAGACGTACCAACAGAACATGGGCCTGCTCACGGTGTCCACAGGGAAGATGCCATCATCGCCGCGGCGAATCCGCGGCGAGACGAAGAAATGCCGCAAGGTCTATGGTATGGAGCATCGCGACCTATGGTGCACACAATGCAAATGGAAAAAGGCCTGCAGCCGTTTCGGCGACTAGGCCAAGCGGCCGCCCCGTTCGTATGTCCGCGGGCGGAGATCGTCGCCGAGTCGACCCCAGAGTTTGCCAATGCTACCTTAAAAACTTCTCGCCAACTGCCAGCAAAAACAAATTGCCAATTTCACACAGACAGTCAGTCAAAAAAAAAAAAAGGAAAAAAAAATAAGTCAGTCAGAGTACAGCCAACACTTACGAGAAACAAAGTCGTCGTCGTCGTCGTCGTCGTCGTCGTCATCATCATCGACAAACCTTGTATTGACGTTGTTGTTGCCGCGGCGATGGCGACCACTCCTGGCTCTAACGATGAAATACACAATAACCACGTCTTTCGCGAGGTTTTACGTGTGAATGGTACTCGGGAACAACGAAGTGGTAAAAAAAAAAAGAAAAAAGAACCCAGAGTATAAATATCGTCCACCATCTTCCAAAAAGTACCATGTTCCACCAGAAGACCACGAACATTATTTTAGAGATGCTGGAAAAAATTGAAAAGACGACACATGCTGACGATGATCGAGAAAATAATCCACGGTGTTGTGTGTGTCTGAATTGGTATCTCAGGCTGATGTCTTTGCAGCGAAACACACCTCTTCTTCCTATTTCTTCTTCTTGTTCTTCTTGTATCCCGTCGTTCGTGTCCCCTCAACGTGTGTTTTCCCCCGCTTTTCCCCGTAAGTCGGGAAGCGTGGGACAACGAGGAGGCACGAGAGTCCAGGAGAAACGTCAATCCCATGACGGATTGGCGGACAGTTAGAAGGGCCGATCACAGTGTTTCGCAAGAAGAGAAAAAAAAAACAAAACACACCACGAAACGACAGAGAGAGGAGATTGGTCTTCGATTTCTCACGTGTAGTAAGAATGCCACATAGGCAGAAACACAGTTGGTTTCGTCGGTTAGATGGTGGTAGTAGGGCGGAGAAGAAAATCGAGAATCGTGTGTAAACGAAAGGATGATTACAAATGAAAAGTAAAAAAAAAAAAAAAAAGAAGAAGAAAGTAAATGGAAAAGATCGTTGACCGATCGTTGAACGATTTCTTATCGCTCTCGTCTGGCACTTGGCAAACTCCGTCAGGGTCATTTTAGCCGTAATAAGGGGTTTTGATTAGTAGATAGCGAATAATTGGCGTATGGGACGAGGCGTCCTTAGACACTGTCTCTCTTTCGTTCCTTCTCTTTGCAATCTTTCCCCTCTCTCTGTCTTCATTTTCTTCCTGTCTCTCAGAATCGAACGAAAGAGAGGACGCACAGGACGCATGGCCTCGCTTCCAGTTCGCCGACCAGCAAGAAGAATTAAGAAAATGATAAAAAAGAAAAAAAGAAGAAAAAGAATCTTTCTCTCTCTCTCTTTTTTTTTTCTTTTTTCTCCTCTTTTCTTTGGTTCGGTATAGGTAGGGAATGATGAGGGGGACACGCGGCGCGAAAAATCGACAGTTCGCTGGCACGCGTGTCCCTGGAAACATGTGCTTGGTTCCCGAACCGACTCTTAGGTCATTGCAATAGGTCTTCCTTC